ATTCTTGTATCAAGATCTCGTAAGATCCGCCCCAGCAGCAGGTCCTTTGATTTATGGCGATCTTGTTAGCTTCTCTGGGGTCCTGGCATGAAGATCTTGGTCAAGGTCTTTTACAAGTCCTTGTGAGAAGTTCCTGCGGGGATCCAAGTGGCATGCTGCCAGAGGCCTTTGCATGACCTTGTACAGGTCCTTGTGAGGAGCTGTCGAAGAGGTCCTGGTGAAATCCTCTAGGTCCTTAATGGTCCTTACATGATCTCGTACAGGTCCTTGTGAGAAGATCTTGTGGAGATCCTGCTGAGTTCCTCCTCATGAGGTCCTGGCATTAAGATCTTGAAGATGCTCTGCGTTGGTGCTTGTCTGAAAGTTTTTTTTTTGGATGTTCAAAGGAAGTTCTTGCATGAAGATTTTGTGAGCTCCTCTATATAGATCTATATAGCAGGTCCTGCTGCACTAGCGATCACGTCCAACCTCATGTGTTTTTGTCCCAGCTATTGCTGCTTGTATCTGGTACATTGACTTCCGACCCACCGCGCTGTTTGGGGCCTCTTGCCGTTGTAGTCTGTAAGCGGAAAAAAGTGAATCCCCTTAGCTAATGAAACGCGTCTTAGACATACATGCCGTGTGCGCGTATGTATGTTATACACCTACATTTTATACATGTTTACGTGCATGCTTGTATACAGACACACACACGCATATAAACACGCATGTATATATATATATATATCATATATATATATATTATATATATAATGTACTATATATTATATATTACATATTACATATTATATATTATATATTATATTTTTTTTAATCTTATATATTATATATTTTATATTATATATTATATATAATATATTATATATATTATATATATTATATTTATATATATATATTATATATATTATATATATATATATTATATATATATTATATATTATATATATTATATATATTATATATATTATATATAATATATATAATATATAATATTTATGTATAATTTTAATTATATTATATATATATAAATTATATATATAATATATATAATATATAATATTTATGTATAATTTTAATTATATTATATATATATAAATTATATATATAATATATATTATAGTGCGTGTGGGTTGCGTGTATGTATTCATTTGTATCTCAGCGGTGTGCGTAAGATTCTCCAGCTACCATCCCTCTGACAGCGACAAGTGCGTGAGGTCCACCTGAAGGTCTCCAGTCGCGCTGCGATATCCTGAAAGGGCTGCTACCCATCTGGGGCTAAAGATGCCCGAGTTTCAGTTGTATAGTCGTCCATTGTTGAGAGCTCTGTTGCTGAGAGAAGCTTCCAGAGGCCCTTGTCAGGCTGCGGATGAAAGTCAGTCCGATACAGTTTTGGCAAAAAAAACAACCAGGGAACCGTGATTAGGGCCAATGTTTTTGGAATGTCTTCTTCCAAAATGAAAACCGCATAATTACATGAATTAAGAATTAGTTATTTTCATTCATTCCTCACGGTTTTTTCCGCAGGTTCGCAGACATTGTCCCTTGATCCAGCAAAGACCTTGACCACAGCCGACCTAAGGTCTGCGGCTCATGAGGCTTTTGAAGAGCTATTAGCTTAGGTCTTTGCTCATGGCTCTTCAAAGATGTTTGATCTTTCTTGGTAGTGTTTGGGCCATCGATCAATTGTTGTGTGTTTTCCAAGGGTGCAATAACCATAAAGTCTGCAACGACCAGGATGACGATGAATTAGACAACCCCATCAGCTTGCATGCACAACTACAGTAGTACGTGATGTTCTGGCATGGGGTTTGGTTTGCCAAGAGAACCACATTTGATCACAGTTGTCTTGAAACTGTTGAGTCCGCTGGGGTTAGCCTAAGCCAGTACTGATGGCCCCATGACATCAATCCCCAATTTCTTGCCAGTCTTGTTGCTGTCGCGGCCCAAGGCGCTTTCAAAGGTTTGACGCCATTGTTGCCAAACTGAAGGTGGCAAACCCAATGGTGGCGTCAATCAGATCCTGAAATGACCTGGACGCTATTAAATGATAGTAAATGACTGAGTCAGACCTGAAAGATTAGAGGTGTGTCACTCAGGGACGACATTTCATGAGCACCCTTATGATGCAGTCCAGTGGAGCGCTTTCATGACAGGCGATCCCGGAGGTCGCTCTGCATGTGCAAAGCGAAGTCCCTGAGGCTTGGCCTGATATTTTTGCAGGGGGAAGACCCATCTCTCAGACTTGCCAGGCTGAGCCGATTGGAAGCCTCTTATGGCGGCTCAGTGATCTTCAGGCCCAGCTTCAGGCAGAGCAGCATTTGGCGCGGGACAACTGCCAGAATTTTCGAGGTTTTTATCGGCTGGATTTTCTTTCAATCATCAATCATGCGCCTGTTTTGGCATGTTTAGGCACCGGTTCTGACAGTGTCTGAGAATTGGACATGACCTAAATTGTAACTTAAAAATTATCTTTATTGCATTCCTCATCGTTCTTGGAGATACCTCAAGCTGGAACTTGTTGGAACTCCTGCATTTGGGGGTCAGCCCAGCTGGGTAGGATGTGAGTCCAGAGCCTACCAGTCGCTCGCCGTCGCCCACTGCGAATCGCCTAGTGCACGCAGAAGCTCTGCCGCCCTTTGCGCTGCGGAAGGACGCAGCAGCCTTCATCTGTGATTTTTTGGGAAATTCTCGCGATTTGTAGAGCCTTCTAGATCTTAGAGGAAGAACGTTGGAAGATCAACCAAGTCTGTGTATGAACGAGCAAAGCGCATTCAGCCCGCAGCCAGCCCAATATACATGTCGAGTGGATGTGAGTGAGCAGCATTTACTCTCCTGACTTAGAGCACAGCAATTGCCATCCGATATTAGTCCCTGTTTCAAGACATGGGCAGAGCCAGGAGCAGAGGGAAGTGCCAGAGAGCGAGCCCATGAATCTGCGGCCCCCCCTCGCTGCTTCTACCAGCCCCAGTATGAAACGCTCTTCCCTCAGCACACCAGCCGGGGGCCTTAAAGAACACGAAGGAATTCAAAGCTCCAATGAAGGTGCGCAAAAGAAAGCCCCTGAAGAGGTGGCTTCCTCAGTTGCTTTTGCAGCAGCTGCTGAGCAAAAAAAACCGGTTGAAGCAGCAGTTGGCAAGGAAACTGCTCCTCCTGGGCCTGAGCAAAAGAGGCCGCACGAACAGCAGCCTCAGCCAGGGCCTCCCCAGCCAGGAATTGAAAGTCAAGGAGGTGCCAAGGACGCCAAAGCTGGAGGTGCAGAAAACAAAGCCTCCAAGGAAGTGGCTTCCCCGGTTGGTTTTGCAGCAACTGCTGAGCAAGAGAAGCCAGTTGAACCAGCAGTTGCAGCCGCGCCTGAGCAAAAGGGGCAGCAGCAACAGCAGCTTCATGCAGATCATCGTGAGGAAGGAGTTGAAATTCAAGCAGCAGAGACAAAGGACCCCAAAGATGCCAAAGATGTCAAAGGAGGTTCGGAAAACAAAGCCACCGAAGAGGTGGCTTCCCCAGCTGCTGGTGTAGCGATTGCTGATCAAAAGAAACCAGTTGAACCAGCAGTTGGCAAGGAAGCTGCTCCTCCTTCACCTGAGCAAAAGAGGCAGCAACAGCAGCCTCAGCCAGGGGCCCAGGGTGCCAAGGACGCCAAAGCTGGAGGTGCAGAAAACAAAGCCCCCCAGCAAGTGCCTCCCCCATCTGCTGTTGAAGAAATTCATAAGCAAAAGGCACAGGTTGAACCAGCAGTTCCAGCCGTGCCTGAGCACAAAGGACAGCAGCAACAGCAGCCCCAGGCAGAGCGAATTGAAATTCAAGCAAATATCAAGGATGTCAAAGATGTCACAGCCGGAGGTGCAGAAAGCAAAGCCACCAAAGAGGTGGCTTCGCCAGCTGCTTTTGAAACAACTGCCGAAGCACCAGTTGGACCAGTAGTTGCCAAGGAACCTGCTCCAGCCGCGCTTGAGCAAAAGGGGCAGCAGCAACAGCGGCCTCAGGCAGATCGTCCTGAGGAAGGAGTTGAAAGTCAAGCACAGACCAAGGATCCCAAGGATGCCAAAGATGTCGCCCCCAAAGAGGCGGCTTCCTCAGTTGCTTTTGCAGCAGCTTCTGAGCAAAAGAAACCAGTTGATCCAGCAGTTGGCAAGGAAGCTGCTCTTCCCGCGCCTGAGCAAAAGAGGCAGCACGAACAGCAGCCTCAGCCAGAGCCTCCCCGGCCAGGAATTGAAAGTCAAGGAGGTCCGGAGGGTGACAAGGACGCCAAAGCCGGAGGTGCAGAAAACAAGGCCCAAAAGGAAGTGGCTCCCCCATCTGCTGTTGAAGAAATTCATAAGCAACAGGCACAAGTTGAACCAGCAGTTGGCAAGGAACTTGCTCCAGCAGTTGGACAGGAACCAACTCCATCCGCACCCGAGCAAGAGGGGCAACAGCAACAGCAGCTTGGGGCAGATGTCAAAGATGGGAAAGTCCGAGGTGAGGAAGATAAAATTCCTGAACACAAGGCTTCGCTGGCTGCTGAGGCACCCAAGCAAGAGGTGCTCCTGGAACGAGCTGACAAAGATGCTGCTCAGCCCTCACCTGAGCAGCTGGAAAGCTCTCAGCCTCTGCAGGCTTCGGAGAGTGGCCCAGTTATGTCATCAGCAGTTCTAAATGTCAGACAGGCCAGACGGCTTCGTAAGGCTGGCCAGCCGAGACCTGTGACGCCACGATAGGGCCGCAATGATGCAAACAAGCAGGCACGCGCCGAATGGCAGCACGCTGGTCAAGCTGTTAGTGAAGCCGGAACTGTTGAAATTCCTGAGGTTCAAGGCAGACGTGCTCCATGCTGGACAGGGTGAAGACTTTACAGTTTCGAAATGGATGTGATCCCGCTCCGTGGTGCCAAGCAATGCTCCGTTCCAGGCGGTTGGCCTTTACATGCCCACGTGACCACGTGACACCGCTTGAAAGGAAACCAACGAGCTAGCGGTTGTTGAGTCTCGAATTGCTTACCGAGATCACTGCACCGCCCAAAAAAGACCGCCTGCCACCAGTGCTGCTGCTGGTGGAACTGGTACGTGGACCCCAAGCTTCAAGGATCATGATCCATCTCAACAAATTTCAAACGCCCAAACGATGGAAGTGTCGGGTGGATGAATCATGATGAACCCACAACGTACTCCAACATAATCCAACATAATCCAGTCGTCTCCATTGGCTGTATGTCTTCATCTTACGGCAGCCACCGTGTGCTCAAATCTCCCACTTCTGCTTCGATTTCGATTTGGAGGCCAACCCTTCCCAAACACATCTTACGCGGATTTCTGACAAAGTTCCAGTGATTTCGGCATACGGCATCCATCGGCATTGCGGCATACCCTTTCCCATCCTTTCCGACAGGCCATGGCTGCCATTGCACTCGCCATGCTCTTGCCATCACTGGCCCTGGCCGAGAAGTGGGCTGTCATCGCGGCCGGCTCACAAGGCGGGAGCTGCACCTCCTGGACTGCATCAAGATGTAAGGTGTTAAACTGTTATCAATGGGATTCAATGGGTATAATCATGTTGTCAAATCTTGATCCATAGGTCATGGGATTTCAATGGGTCAAGTGGTTCCATTGCAGTATGTGTGAAAGGATGTTTGTAGAAACTCTTTGCTATTTTATGCTCAATGTTGCAGCGCGCCGGAAAGATGTACGCGCAAAGATGGAATTTGTGGCATCGCCTTTTGCAAGCTTCATGTGCAGCAGTCCACTCCACGAACTCTCATACATGGGACGAAATGGGACGAACACTAGCCGCTGCGAGGCTTTATGAATTACAGGCATCAGGCAGATGCATGCCATGCGTACCAGATCATGCTCAAAAGCGGAGTGAAGGCTGAGAATATCATCCTCATGATGCAGGACTGCCAGTTGCTGGCTGCTGTTTGTTGCACCTCGCACGAGCCACCGGAATTCAAATGTTTGGGTGGGAACATAATTAAAGGGGTTGGCTTAGCTGGCTTGGGCAAATCTGACTTGGGCAAATCTGACAGGATGATGTTGCAAAATCTTCGGAAAATCCCTTCCCCGGCCAGCTCTTCAACAAGCCGGGCAACGACTCCCCAGATGTGACCCGGACAAATTGGGCCACCCTTTGTGGGAAATTGATGGAAATTGCCCATGGTTGCCGAGGTCTACAAGGGGTGCAAGGTTGACTACTCGGGCGATATCGTCACGGCCCAGCTTTTCCTGGATGTGCTCACCAGCAACACTACCGGCGCTAAGGGCAAGGACGGAAAAAGACGGTGATGATTGATTTTCCTTGCAGATTGTTGCAAGATGTTGCCAGAATTTCTGGACGGATATTTCCAGTCACCAGATGTCACCAGTCTGTCACCAACTTCATCCAATTTCCAGACTTTCGTAGGTCCTGAAGAGCACAGAGGAAGACACCGTCTTTGTGAATTTTGTGGACCATGGAGGCCGTGTGGCACGTCGGCATCAGGCCTAGGGATGACTTTTATTTATATATATATATATACATCAATCAGGCCTAGGGCCTGATCCAAGGGGTTCGTCCAATCCTGTGCATTACTATATAGATAGATATAGTGATATAGAAAAATAATGATAAATAATCACATCAGAATCATAGTCATGGAATCTGAATGAATCTTACGCAATTTATCACAATTTAAATCAAGTACAGGTAGCGTCGAATATCATCCAAAAATGCGTTGTTGAGACTGTTGGGAATGGCAACGGCTACGGCTCCGGTGACCAAGTTGCAGCAGGTCCTGGCATTGTGGCTTTCCCCAATGGCCCCTTCTTGCACGTCAAGGACACTGTAGTGGATCCAGAGCCCTAGGCCAGCCCAAACGCGACGATTTAGCTCGGAGCATGACCGCAATCCGAAGGTACCAACAGGGCTTCGGAATCTTCATTTGTCGTTTTTTTTTGAGAACTGTTCACTTATTTCTTTTATATTTCTTTCATGTACACTGAATTATTCATGATCTTTGGACACTCCTGGACTCTCAGCCAGAGGATTTGTCCAAGACTTTGAAGACCATGCAGAGCAAGAAGATGTTCAAGCAGCTGGTCTTTTACATGGAATCTTGGCTGATTCTGCAGCTTTCACCGGTGCTTACAAGATCTGTTCGTGGACAATGCTGAAGGCACGAGAAATCTAACAGGCTGGCAGATAGGATGCGTGATGGAAGTTCATTGCGTATCCTTGATGACATAGGTAAACATTGAATGTACTGTGGCTTGAAGGGTGGCGGCCAAGGGCTTGAAACATCAGAAGCACCACAGCATAGCACAAGTGCAGTCGACGCCCCAAGCTCTGCGCCCGTTTTGCGGCGGCACCTCAGGAGGCATGCGAAAGCGGCTCCATGTTCCCAGATCTGCAGGCGGATGGAAAGATTCTGGCGGTGACCGCGTCCAACGGCCAGGTGTGGTCACAGTGTTCGGGCTGTGGGTGTGGGACATGCAACTGCACTGGGTGATGATGAGGAGGAGGACGACTCACGACTCACGACGGATGATGGAAGGATGAAGGATGACGGCGGAGCATGGCAGATGATGACGGATGATGACGGATGATGACCGGATGATGACCGGATTCAATCGAATCTTCAACCCGAAAGCAGCGTCGATATTGCGTCGATTCTGAATTGGCTGGTGGCAAATGCGGTGCACTTCTGAAAGGGTGGTTTTATAATGTTTTATAATGTCTTATCTGGTTTTATCGTGTTTTAACGCATTTTTGCTGATTGCATATCCTGCATGTTCCGCCTAGAAAGCTCCCGCATCGAAGACAGGAATCATCTTGGGGCACCTATTGTGGTCTGGACCCAAGTGGGAAGCCGCAGCCTTGCAGTACGCCCCACTGAGGTTCCAAGCGCTGTGTATGCCTGGGTCGTGCGTCCCCTCTTTGTACAACATGGGTTATGGCCAAGGATTTTTATGGACTGTACAATTTTATCTCACTTACGACATATACAACATCATAACCTTCTCTTTGATTGTCGAAGGAATTTTCCGGAGCATTTTGATCAACCTTTGAGCCATCAAAAATCATCGATATATCGTCCCATATTTAAAGAATTTAAAGATCAAAGGTGATGCAGCCATGGTGAAGGGCAAGAACATTGGCTCTTGCCTGGGAGATCTCTTCTCTGTCAACTGGATGGAGGACCGGGGCGATGGACACATCGACCACATCATGGACTCGGACGTGTGCGCAATGTGCGCAATGTGCGCAATGTGCGCAATGTGCGCAATGTGCGCAATGTGCGCAATGTGCGCAATGTGCGCATTGTGTTTGAGAAAGTGGAGCTATGATGAGCTATGTTTTACTTGTTCATAGATGTTGATCGTCTACACACACACACAACACACACACAACACACACAACACACACAACACACACAACACACACAACACACACACAACACACACAACACACACACACACACAACACACACAACACAAACACACAACACACACAACACACACAACACACACAACACACACACACACAACCAACAACACAACACACAAACAACAACCAACAAAAACAAAGAAACAAAGAACAAACAAACAAAAAACAAACAAACAAACAACCAAATAAACAACAATAAAAAAAAACCAAACAAAAAAAATAAAGAAATAAAAAAAAAAAGGGAAAGATAAAACACAAAAAAATAACAAAAACCCAACAAAACAAACACACAAACAAACAAACAAACAAACAAACAAACAAAGAAACAAACAAACAAACAAACAAAGAAACAAAGAAACAAAGAAACAAAGAAACAAAGAAACAAAGAAACAAAGAAACAAAGAAACAAAGAAACAAACAAACAAACAAACAAACAAACAAACAAACACACACACACACAAACACACACACTGGGGGGTAATGGCCAGTAAAAAGTGTGAAGGATGTCATAGTCTTCGCCTGATTTCCTGAGTTGCCTGGCAGTAGAATTTCAGCGGACACAGGTTCACGATCGAAGAAACAACGCACAGCTCATAAACAAGAACAGAAAGTCAACAGTTGGAACTATAGCAGGTACGTAGATCAGGCGTCCCTGATCTATATCCTTACCACATGTCACCCAGCTTCGTTGGCAGAGGAAGTGACATGGGTACATCTGCCCCCTGCTTTTTAGAATAGTACAAGAGCAATGAAAAGAACTAAAACCGTTTGTTATAACGGTGTACACACACATTAGCCCCGAAATGGGGCAAAATCCACTCAGGTACTGAATCTCGAATCTTTTGTACAGTCTGTACTGGAGTAGCTTTACAGGGAGTAAATACCTTGTCATCCAAAAATGTCCGAATCAGCAACTCATTGAATGCATAACGAGTGAGCAAAACTTACCTGATGATGTACGATAAAGCCTTTCAAACCAAGACCTCATTTGTGATTCCATCATTTGTGATTCCATCTCATCGTCAAGAATAAGTAACCGCACAAGTACATTGGCAAGTGGAAAATCTGAGTTCCGGAACTGCAGTTGTTGCTGAGCTCTTGACCAGAAAGGTTCCGACAAGTTTCGACTCAATATGCATAACAAGAATATGTAGTCATGATCAGCTTGAGATGATGGCAATAATTTCGAACAGTCAAATTCCATCTCCAGTCCAGTGTAATCGCATATGCACAACATTTATTTGCGACCACCACTCAAACATCCAGTCCTGAGGCAGGTGCAAAAAATGAATGAAAAATGCCAAGGATCCGACGTTGAGTCTGATTATAAGCAAGCAAAAGCAATGAAGTAGATGTCCATTGACTCAAAATGCACATCAAAAATTGTTGGAGATTCCAAGGTAAATTGTTCGAAAATTGGAGGAGGCATGCAATCCACTGACATCCGTTCAGTAACAGTCGTCTACAGTAGGACCGAACAGATTTCGAAAACGTTCTGAAATCATGAAATGCGCACAGCTGCCCATCTGAATTGACAGGGCCTACACTGTTTTGGTCAAAACTAGTCACTGATTCTTAACATGCTGAACTGCAGCCAGAAAAC